CAGCCTCTGGAACTGGAGTTATGGTTTTAGCCACCATGTGGGTGCTGGAAACCAAACCCAGGTCCTCTGCAAGAGCAGCCAGTGCTCTTAACCACTGAGCATCTCTCCAGCTCCTCTTACAGTATTTCTCAATTGTGTCCTGTCCTCTCCAGCTACCATTATGGCTTCACTTTGGGGCCGTCCAGCTGCCCCCAAAGGCTTTAAAACTCAGCCTGTCTATGCTAACCACAGTTCCAGAATGTCTAAGCAATTATCCTTACCCATCAGATACAACTGCTCAACTCATTTGCCTAAGAAGATGGCCACGCTCCCTAAAGACACGTCAAAGTTCTCAGAGCCGCATCACACCTACTCTCTGACTTTATCTTTCCTTGTCTCTGATGACAGCTGCAATGTTACACTGCTGTGATGCCCAAGTCAACCTGTCAGTTCTCAGACATCTCGTTTTCGCCTCCCGGCTCCCTGCTTACAAGACTCCAGATGTCCCTTCCGTGTTCTCAGAGAAACTCATTCTTTCTTCAGCTCGGCTACTCTGGAATCTTTCTCTGACCATTGCACAACTGGTGGTTTTTCTCCCTCGGCTGCACTGATACTTTCTCTTACAAATTGTTTTTGATTTATTTTTATTTTATGTGCATGGGTGTATGTAAGTGTAAGTGTGTCATGCAATGCCCATGGAGTCCAAAAGAGGGTGTCAGATCCCTTGGAACTGGAGTTAAAGACAGTTGTTAGCTGCCATGTGGGTGCTGGGATTTGAACCCAGGTCCTCTGCAAGAGCAGCCAGTGCTCTTAACTGCTGAACCATCTCTCCAGTCCCCACTTTTGTTATTTTTAATATTTTTAAATTACATTTTACTTATTTGTGCATGTACATGTGTATGTGTGTGTGATCTAGAGACTGTTATACTAAGTGAAGTAACACAGACTCAGAAAAACAAACGGTGTATGTTCTCCCTCATATGTGGCTCCTAGCACCAAATCCTTTTAAATTCCAGGTCCTTTTAATAAGAAGATGCTATTCAGCAGTCCCATCTGCATGAAATAATTACCATCATCACAACTTCGGCTGAGCCTGATCATTAAACATCGTCACAATTGGGCTTGTTGACGGCTGTGCTCACTCATTAAAGGAGGGCCAAGCAGGGTCATTGGACCCTCACCGGATTATCCAGCCACTCTTCCCAGCCAACTGTATGTAATTTGGCCCTAATCACACATGGTCTCCTAGATTCAGGGAGAGCTAAAGTATACAATCTGGTGAAGGCTAGGAAGAGAAGGCATGACCTATGCTGGGTAAAGGCTTTCCAGTGTGCATACCCTCAGGTCATACATAGACTTCAGCAACCCCTCAGTTATCTCAGTAAGTAAGATCAGTAAATTCATTGGTTCCTCAGCAAAACTTTAATCAAACATTGGCTTGACACTAGAACCTTAAAAGAGAATAAACATTGCTTAGCATCCCCAGGAAAAGCACTGTTGGGGCTGGAGAGATGGCTCAATAGTTAAGAGCACTAGCCAGCTGCTCTTGCAGAGGACCTGGGTTCAGTTCCCAACTCCCACATGACAGCTAACAGTCATCTGTAACTCCAGTTCCAGGGTATCTGATACCCTCTTCTGACCTCCATGGGCATTTCAGGACACAGGTGTTTTTATATGCATGCAAGGCAATACACTCATACACATAAAATAAAAATAATAAATAGAATATTCTTTTTAAATGTTGGGAAGATGAAGCTGGAAGGGCAGAGTGGGCCCACATAGACCTTCCTCCCACCCCACATCCCTTCCGCAGAGCGGGAGACACGTCAGCTGACAGTCTAGGACTTACCTGCTGCTCCTGGGCGCCGATATTGCTATTCTTGTAGAAAGAAGATAGGTAAAGGGATTCTGGGAAAGGTTTTCCACCATTTTTTCTGTCATGCTTTCTGACCTGGAAGGAAGGAGACCTTAGGTGACCCCTGTGATGGTGAATCTCCATCATCAACTTGACAGCATTTGAAACCACCTCTCTGTGTCCCATCTCTGGGTGTGTCCATGAGGTGTAATGTGGGCCCCACCCCAATGGGCCAGCACCGTCCCGTGGGCTGGGGGCCTGCACTGAAGGAGGAGAAAGTGAGCTGAGCCCCAGCACTCATCAGCTGTTTCCCGAGTATAGACCCCGTGTGACCCTCTGCTGCCCGGCCTCTCCACGGTGGACACACCCCCAAACCATGAGCCACACAGACCCGGCTTCCCAGAAGCTGCTCTGTCAGGTATTTTCCTGCAGCGACAAGGAAAGAATCTAACACAGGCCCAGACAGGACACGCTGGGGACGTGCGGCCGCCCTCACTCAGGTGTCCACCCCGTCCAGTTTCAGAAACAGAACCTTGGATGCAAAGAAGAAAATACACCAAGAATCGGCCCTTCACTGGTGCGAGTGTGGAGGGAGGTGAGTGTGGGCTGTGAGTGTGGAGGGAGGTGAGTGTGGGCTGTGAGTGTGGAGGGGGGGGAGTGTGGGGGGTGAGGGTGGGGGGGGGGGGG